GCCGCGCCGCGCCGCCCCCACCGCCGCCGGCCGCCGCCGCGCCCAGCCGCGTCCCGGCAGCGGCACAACCTGGGCGCGTCCCTCCCGCCCGCCGCCGTCACCGCCTGACAGCCGCCCCCGCCGGCTGCTACCGCGGCCCGCAGGGGACAACTCAGAGCGCTTCGCGTCGCCGCCCGCGCGGCACTCCGGGAAACGTAGTTCTGTGGGGCGGCGGCACGCGGCGCGGGCGGGAAGAGGCAGCAGCTGCTGCGGCTCCTCCCTGCTGCCAGATCGGGGCCCGCGCCGAGCGAACCTCTTCCCGCGCACTGCCGTTCGGGGGATCGAGGAGAGCTCGGAGCCCCGATTTAAAAAGCCCCTTTGATTTAAGAAGATCTGCATCTCAGAGCCGGGTTTGAGTGGTTTTGGCACGCTTGCAGCCTAACTTGTGGGTATAACAAGGGCAGTGTCCTGCACAACCCTCCATCAAATCCCAGCTTTTCAGCTCGTTGCTGTTGAATTCCTTTCTGTTTTGGCTACATTCTGAGCACTGGTCTTACACTTACAGAATCATTAAGGTTGGAAAAGACCTCCAAGACCATCCAGGCCAACCACAAACCCACCCCCACCATGCCTCCTGTGTCCCTCAGGGCCACATCCACACAGTTCTACCAGAGCACTGAAGGCTACAAGTCCATCCCGGGAGCACTTCGGCTTCCCTTCCCTACCTATTGGAACACTGACAAGGAGATACAACAGCATTTTTCAGAAACAACCACTTTCTCTTCTGAAAGGATAAACAAGACTTCCTGAGGCTGATGCTGTCACCATGGGCCAAGGGCACAAGCTGTTAGGCATACAAAGATGGTTTGCTTGCTCCATTAGCACAAGAGCTTTCTGAAGAGACGCATGCCCTACATTAGCACCATCAGCTCCATGTGAGAAGCGATGCAGGAGGAAAGTGGTGTGGCCAAGACACTGTGTGCTGTGGGCCGTGCTCAGCCTGCAGCACAGAGAAACAGGCCCTGCGCAACTCTGCTTGCTCAAGCAGCACTTCCTGTTTCTTACTGGCTGTTCTGAACTCACGGTTGTTGCTTTGTAACCAGCCCTGAGGAGGTGGGACTGCGGTGGGTGGATAACCTCTTAGCTCTTCTAAAGAGAGGAATGATAAACATGTGAGCTGATGGAAAGGACAAGGGATGAGAGGGAAACAAGAACCCACCACAGGGAATGCTCTGTGGGGGAAACTTTTTAAAGAAACCGGTCAGAACATCACGGCTCACTAAGAAAGGAAGGAAACAGTGGCGAGAGAGGAAAGAAGTGAAGGGGAAATAGCAACAAGCTTCATGAAAACACACAGTAAAATGGCCAGCAGTGAAGAAAGAGATGAATAGGGGAGGATGACCAAAAAACAGAAGGAAGAACAAGAAGCACTACCAACTGTTCAAGTTTCATTTTTTAATCAAATGAAGTTTGATGCAAAAATTACGATGTAAAATCATGCAGTTATACTTTTTGTGTCTGGAGCAACAAAACCAAACAGATCAGAAACAAGAGAGGCACATAACAAATTAAGGTTGCACCTGTTGTACACAGTCACAGCGTGCAAAAAAACCCAACCCTCTCCTTTCCTAATCCTCTGCAACTGCCCAGAACTATTTTCCCTTCCACCAACATTGTTACTGTTCTTCTATAGTCTTCACCATACTTGTTTACTACACCTCACCCCTTTTGAGTGTACAGCATCTCATTATTACCTAGAATGTGAATGAAACATCAAAGGGATGAGATAGAAAAAATTAAGGTAAAGACAGACTTGATTGTAGATTAAAAAAAAAAAAACAAACCAAAAACCTTTCCAGCAAACACCAGTCATCAATTACTGAACTATCAAGGAAGAGAACTTCTTGACTGTCCTTATTTTTAATTGCAAATATTTTGTGATCAATTCTACAGTGAGAGTTTCCTTATACGCTTTAATGGAACTTTCTCAAACATTTAAGAGGGTTCAAAACAATTGCTGAGCAAAAGAGCATTGTAATATTTGAAACACTTCTAGGAAAGTGATAAACTTTGATGAATTTAAATCCCACTACACAAAGATGACAGGATGAGAATAGTGAAATCCGTTTCCTCCTGCACAACATAGTACGATTTTCACTGCTGCATGCATCTCTAACTGCAGTAGGAAATGGAAAAGACTTGAAAGTTAATCTTCACATGCTTACGAAAAAGACATTTGAAATATTAGTTTGCTCCTCTTGCCTTGGTGCAAACTTCTTTTCTCACTTTGGTACTAAAATAATCAGTCTGAAGTAAAAGACTTTCAGATTTATAATATGTTTTATCCACATCCAATACAACAGGGTAAGAGAGCATTATCTTATCTTTCATTTTGCATAGGTACCCAAAGGGTTACATAAGCTGTTATGAGAGATGAGAGGCAAACGACTATGCAAAAATAACAATCTACAAATATTTCAATCAACTATTAACCATGCTCATTTCTATTTACTATCCTTTGTTACACTTGGGTTCAAGTAGAAGCTCCTAAAATACACCGTTTCTACAGAGCCCTGTTATATCCAGAAAAATATCAGACATGAAACCCCAGTAGTCCAAGCCCAGTCTTCCAGTTACAAAACTTTTCTCTATAAAGCAATATGCATAGAAAGATCCCTATGGAACTCTGTAAATTCAATAGCAGTGTCAAAATCTTCATGTGAGTCAGTCTTGTATATACAAGAAAATACGTGATTCTGCACCTCTGCTAACAGAAGGGGGAGGTGTGGCAGAAGGCAGACAGACCACTGGGAGTTGAGCTCTTCTTCTGTACACTTAGTTCAGCACTTGAGCTATCTTTCAGATCCAAAAACAACAAATCAAACCCACTCAAATGTGAGGGGAGGTCACGCATATTTAAAAAAAAAAAAAAGAGAAGCCAGGTAGGAGAAAGTAAAATTGGAAGGCCTTGCTCATTCTTGTGTTCTACTCCCTTTCAGTCAGCACAGGTGCAAAGTCATTCGGTTCTGCAAACTTTATCAAAGACTACATCTCCAGTGATATTAAAATTTTGCAGGAAGAAGTAAATATCTTAGAATCTGAACAACATGCAGTACACATAGCCATCATTTTCAACCAGTGTCTGGCAGAATAGAGGGACTGCTAACACTGCACCTTGCAAGGGCCAAGAGCCACAGCAACACAAATGCAGACAGCAGGCAGTCCTCTTTTTTAAATAAATTTCTAATGCACTGTTTTTTGTTTCATTTATGTTGTTCCTGTTGTTAGAGGAAATATGGCATTAGACTTTTGTAATGCTTTATTCAAGCATTAAAATGGACCCAAAAGAAAGATACACCACATAAAGGAAAGACAACTCATTACACAGCATGCTCGACTGTTTACCTTGAGAAAGGCTGAAAGTTGTCTTTTTTTTTTTTTCCTTCTCCCCCTTCCATGCAAGCAGAAAAGCTCTACAGTGTCTGGCAGTTCTCTTCCCTAGTTTGTTTTAAAAAGAAAGAGTGCATATTTCTACTCTTGACATTCCCCATGTACACAGTAAGTACTGCATAACAGTTTCCACTCTTGCATCCCCACTGTGTTAGCACAGTGGTACAATAACAGCCACCAGATTTCAAACACCATTCAGAAAGGTTAAGGGTTCTTTTAAAAAATAAGAGGATTTCATGAGATAGAGAACAAGGTGGGGTTTTTTTGTGGATAATTTATATTGCAAATTCATAAATATGATCACACTCAATTTCTCAAAAAGCTATACAAATACAAGTAACACCACTTCCCTTGTAATGCACAGATTTCAAATAATTACACAAAGCTCTATTAGACAGCCTTTAAGATACAAATTACACAAAATTACAGACTTATTTGCAGTAACATATCAGGGATAATGTAGTGCTTCAGACAATGTAACGGTCCAAAAATAATAAAAGTAATTCAAAAAAAGCTAGTTTTCAGTTTAATTGTTGGGGTGGAATGTACTGTGGGTGGTGGTTGCCTAGCAGCTGCTTTTGCCTTGCTGGCCTGACTAGCTCGGACTGCAGTTTCTAGGCGTGTTTTTAATTCAGGCGCAGCTCCCATTACGGTCTTGAAAGCATGTGGGTAAAGCGGTCCAATGTGCATCAAATTCTGAAGTGCAAACTCGTGAAGGTCTTTAGATGCTGTAGATGCAGAAGCAAAGGCGTTTTCATTCAATAAGTAGGAGATCAGAGTGGGAACAAGCAGCGCAAGCAACTGGACTCCTAAACGTGAAAGAAAAAAAAAAAATCAGATCAGAACGAAACAAAAAGAACTAGTAACGAAGTTCCTAGTCTGATAGATGTGAATTTTGTTTTCTCAATTGACAATAAGCTCAGTAATTACAAATTATCAAATCAAAAATAAGCAAAATAAAGAGTGCTTCCCATCATTTGGTCACTCCAATCTTGCCTATCAGGCTTGTGCTTCTCACTTCTCACTGTTCATCACAGTTATTTTGTTCCTGACATCTTTAGAAGCGTTTGCACAATCCAATTGCAGATCACAGATCTTAAAATGTAGAGTGGCTATTAAAGACTTCAAAACACTGCCAACAGACAAACAATTCAACCGAACTGGAAAAGCAGCCTCCCCACTGAACATAAGTGAACTGTTTTCAACATGCAGCTCCATCTCCAGAGCTAGCACTTCAAAAAACAGCACTGTAACAATACTTACAGGGCTAACAAGACCTGCCACTAGCACAGAGTTTACCTTTAGAACAACAACAATCACCAACAAAACCAAAGCAGTAGGGCTAATATTTCTTCCTAACCTGGCTACAAGTATGCCTTGAAACGTGTAACATGTTAACTGCAACTTCTGGAGAACTTTAGCACTAATGGGAAGTCATCTATTGAAAATTCTGTAGACTATTAGAATATTAATCATTTCCTCCTAGAGGTTTTGACAACACATATATTCTTGCCTCCTGTCAGCATTAGCAAAAATCAAAT